TTTAAGTTTTTAAAAAACTATTCTAACATACATGGCATGCCTCACCTGGATGTTATTGTAACAAAATTACTATACCAACTGTGTTTCTTCCAACAAGTTTTAGTTATGCATCAGTATATCGCGACTATGTGCAGGCTTATAAAGATAAGTATGATAAGGATGTTCGTATTTTGGCTGAATCGACCTTTACTAATATCTGAAAATCTTTAATGCCATCACTCCAATTTATGTCCTCGAAAACTGATCTATGTGAAACGTGTGAAATAATGAAAATAGATATTAGATATACAACACAACATGAAAAAAAATTAGAACTTACTAATAGTTACTTAGCTCACTTAAATCGTGCGCAAAAAGAATGTGATTACTATAATGCTAACATCATAAAGGCAGTTGAAGATAGCAAACATAATCCAAATGTAGTCGGCTCTCAAATATTATTTAAAAGCTTTGGTGGTAGTGCTCATATTGCATACGACTGGGCCCAAAACGTGCAAATACCTCATTCACTACAACAAATAGGATTTTGTATTTTAAAAGTGCTCGAAAAGTACATTTATTTGGTGTTTGTAATACTGGTAATTTTCCACATACTCAACAAACGAATTACGTTATTGATGAAGCCAAAATGCCCGATAATAGTAAGCAAGGTAAAGGCGTGAATTGCACATTAAGCTTGGTTTGGCATGCAATTCTTAAATATAATTATGGGGAAAAAAAATTAGTAATTACATGTGATAATTGTATAGGTCAGAATAAGAATAATTATTCATTATTTTTTTATTCATGGTTAATCGATCGCAATATGTATGATGAAGTTGAGCTAAATTTTATGATACCAGGACACACCAAATTTATTTGTGATGGTTGTTTTGGTCTAATTAAAATTCTCTACCGAAAAAGCAAGGTCAATACCATAGATGATGTAGTCTCAATTGTTAATCGCTCTACAAGAATTAATTTTAATGTTGCTCAACTTTATCTTAATAGAGAAGGCTTTCAATATTATGATTTTAAAAATTACTTTCAAGCATTTAAAAAATTACCTCATATTCAAAAGTACCATCATTTTTATTTTACTTCGCAACACCCTGGAATTGTCTTTTTTAAAAACGATCTTCAAGATAATTACAAAAGTTTTACAATTCGTCCTTTTACTTTTAATGCTGATACCTTACTCCCTATGATTGATACCAAACCACTTTCTTTAAAGAGACAAGAAGAATTATATAAAGAAATTGCACCCTATATTGATTTACCTTTTCGCAACATCACTTGTCCTGAACCAAAAATTCAGGATAAAAAATAAACTAAATTCCCCTATAGCGATAGTTTTATTAGTTGTATAAAATAAATTAGCGTTAGTGTTAGAATTTGTGTTGAACTTAGCGTAAATAAGTTCAGAGATTAGCTTATCCTAATTTAGCGTAAAACAAGTTTTATTTTTGCGCTTTTAATAAGAATTAAAAATCAAATAAAGTTAAAAAGTAGAATCCGGAATCAACTTGATTGTCAAACTAAAATCTCTCAAGAAAATCAAGTACATAACTGGTGGTGAAATTTTGTTTACATATGTATATATGTACGTATCTCAGTAAATAAATAAATAAATAATTTATTTATTTTAAAATACAATAATAAGTATATAACGGGTAACGGTAACGGCAATAACTTAAAATGTTTTAAAAAATTAACGGATCGATACAGTATTTATTCAAAAAAAAAAAATAATGGTGAAAAAATAAATAATAAATAATGAAGTGCGAGGAATAATGCGATAATGATTTATACTTTTACATATTTTGATAAAATAAATTAATTAATAAAAAAAAATTTTTTTTTGTCAATTATAAGGGCCAAAAAATTGAGAAATCGGTTGTAAATCATGTGACAATTGTCAAATGCGATTTTCTCAAAATCAGATGATCATCCCACTGGCACGTTTTGCTGTGGGAGATCCCATATGTGAATATAAACAAAAATACAAGTACTACAAAAATTTCAAAAAACTATCCAACTTTCAACTTCGCAATCCAATTGCTATAATATATCGATCCAATGATTTTGTTCCTGGATATTATGGGATGAAAGGGTTCACGATAATGTGCGAACATTTGATGAACAACACAATAGTATGGAAACCTAAATTAAGAATAGATAAAAGATTCATTGAAGAAAAATTCATGGAAGAGGTTATCATTCCTGAATTGGGTGTTATGTTCATAATGGAAGATCTCGGGGTTGATGATTACGACACTGCTGTAAAAATCACGCGTAAGAGCGTTGAATACGGCAGCGAACATTTTTTTGGAGACGATAACGACAAATATTTTTGGTGAAAAGAAATATTCACACCTAGAGTAATGGAAAGATCCAGGGATGTAAACTGTTATCCTATTGAATAATAAATCCAATGAATATTTTGACGAATTAAATTTTCCGCATGTGGCTTGGTAGCTTCTTAATCATATGAATGTTACTCAACCCAGTAAATGCGACAGTGGAAGCATAAACGCTCTTATCATATATATGCTTATTAATCATAAATCACTTCGTATAGAATTCCAAATTAAATCTATATTTGAACAGCTATAGTATGAATAAATTAACCATTCAAGAATTTTTTGTTCAAAATTATCCCTATACAATAGTCTTTCATCCTATAAAAGCTAGAATTAATATATTTTAGTTGACTAAATTTATGAATGGTAAAAGATTAAATACTGGCATGTAATATATTCTGATTGGGTGAAAGCGCGATTTAGAATTATATTTAATAACATATATATATACATGAATCATGATTGCAGGCATAATTTTTATATTTTTTTTTTGTTTCATATGTGTTTAGTATGAACACATTGAATAAAATAACTTGGTTGCTTCTTTAGTATATATGGTCTTTCGTCCTAATTATTAAACGCGCTAGCGAAATTTGTATTAGTAATATATTTTTGACATGTTTTTATTAATCTATGCAAATTCGGTCAAAAGACCATATGTAGACTTTATAAGGAGACTTATTTCTTTGTTTCAGGAATACTCCGGAGGAAATGATGCATATCAGTATTAAGAAGCGCCCACACGAAGAGGCAAGTTAAAATTAGATAGCTTATTTCTAACGTTTAATTTGAACAAGTACAAGCTCTTAGTAGTAGAAGATCCGAGATTAATATTTAAATTTAATCGGTAAGTAGCTGATCCTTGGCTTGAGATACGCCCTGAGCAGTTACTACATGCTTCGTATTGTTCACACCTTAAAAATTTTTTGGTTAGATTGTGAAATGTGCAGTCCTAATTAGGAACAAAGTTGATTCTAAAATGAATTTATTCAATTTTAATTTACGAATTTAAGAGCTAAAAATTTCCAGTAGTTGGAGTCAGCTTTTTTGTAATGTAAAATTCTTTGGCTAGATTGTGAAACATGCAACTTTAATACCTAATTAGGTATGAAGTTGATTCTAAAATGAATTCATTCAATTTCAATTTACGAATTTGATGAGGCTAAAAAATTTCGTGTAGTTGAGTTAGCAGATTTTTGTGGCGTAAAATTCTCTGGCTTCTAAAATAAATTCATTCAATTTCAATTTGCAAAATTTAGATCTAAAAATTTTACTCCTCGATAGAAAAAGTGATTAAGGCAAGCTGGAAGCTGCTTCAGATTTGTTAAAAATGATAAGAATACGTACATAAGCTTACAAAGAAAAACCTCAACAATTCAAAAAAAAACAAATTTTTTTATTCTTAAAACAATACATAGTTCCGTATTTAATTTCGGTGACAAATAAAATAATCTTATTCAAATTCTAATTTTGGTGACAAACAATTCTATTTAAATTCTATTTTCTGTGACAACTAAAATTATTCTTTCAGCAATGGTGCTAATGTCTGGGGTTGAGAATTGCATTTTACAATCATACATGTAATTTTCAATTTTAAATTTGGCCACTAAAAATTTTTATTGGCTGGAACTTGGTTGTCTGCTCTGTAGAATAAAAAGCCCTCAGTATTATCATATGTATTATACAAATTTAGGGTCTTAATTCAAAACTTTTACTAATGTTTCAATATTCTCGTAAAATATGAGCAAGAATCTATTCAATTTCAATTCATATGACATTTATAATTCAAGATATAAAAATTATTTTTCTTGTAGAAATTATTTACATTTTTTTCGCAAGTTACATGAAGCCTTTAATAAAAAAATAATATATAATCTTAAAAAAATTAAATATAAATAACATTATATTGTATTGATATTAATAATTAAAAACATATGCATCAGTTTTGTCATCAGAAAAAATTCTATGATGCCATGGTTGATCACCACCAAAACAACCCTTGAGAACACTTCCATAATCCAAGTTAGATAATGCCAATACATGTTTGGTTAAAAATAATTTCTAACTAATCATAGATTTGCATTTTTCAAGTTTGAAAAGCGTGCATCTCTGAGTTCTAAGCTCTATTTCTTTGTTTCTGTATAAATTTAAATGTTATTACAAAATTTTAACTATTCAGACAAAAGACTTTTGCGGCAAAGCGCAAATAATTTTTGCAATAAAAATCCATTTTCTTTGCTTCAAGAACTTACACACGAATATTGGAAAACCCATTAATGTTAAATTACATGAGAAAATGACGTGTATAAATATTAATTTGTTGATATCGAATGTAAAATTGATTTGTTAGTTTTAACGAAATCTAATTTTCTTGAAAGATTTTTATATATTTATATATGATAATTACATTCTGTTTATTTTTTCAATATAATACAATTGTTTTTAAAAAATAAATATTTTAATTTTAAAATTAAACAATAAAAGATAATGAATAAATTTAAGATCTAACACAATCTATTAAATTATATAATATTAATCTAGATACATCTTTGTTATCGAATAAATGACTAACTACTTCGTAATGATATTGCCTATCTTTGCAGAATTCTTTTAAATATTGTGCAAATTCATAAACTTCTATGATATCTATTGGTCTTCTTAATGATCACAAGAAAAATAATTATCATTTTCATCAAAGTCATCATATCTTTTACAGACCCTACAATACAGTTGAACAGTTTTATAATTATATTCACTACATTTGTCTTCTAACAATTGTTTAAATATTAATTCAGCTTGTTTAGAATAAGTTTGATTTCCAATAACATTGTTAATAAGTCTTTTTATTCCTCTTTTATCTGATTCTGATAATTTGTCATCAACATCATCAAGCAGCAATTTTATTTTTCTTTTAAATATTATAAGGACATTCTTATCTAATTCTTTATTGTTTTTGTTAAGATAAGGACGACTTATTTTGAATAATTCGTATGATGTTTTAAAATAAGAGGCAATGTCACGAGAACATTTTATAATTTTTTTATGAAATGATGACAAGATTTGGGTATCATTTTGGATTTGATTTTTAATTTGTTTTTTGATGGAACTTGAGTCTTTCATTGGATTTAATTTTATAATTGAGATTTAAGTATTGTTGTTTATGTTTTTGATTGTAGATTTATTATCAAATTGATTTAAATTTGAAAGTTGAGTAGGGTTAGAGGAGCGTGTATTTATATTCGATAACTTTACATACACGGAGTGTTCAAATTCCGAATTCTAATTTGAGTTTTGTGATATATTTATGAACTTTAATTAATTTTGCAATTAAAAATTTTACGCATTATTACCTTGTATAGCACAGTTGCCCGAATGGACTATTTTATAAAAGACTTATTTCTTTGTTTCATGCAATTCCATGATGTGTATGTGTATTTGTGTGATGTAGAGATACGAACCATAATATAAATAATCTTCAGATTACTTTGAATCTATGATTTTTATCGGTCTAGAAAAATACAAACATAATTTCTCGCACCCTAAAAGCGGGGACACGAAATTTATGTGATTTAGTGATGATTTGTGTAACTTAAAGTTTACTGAATTGAAACTGCATAATCTAGACACTCTATGATAAATGACCCAAATGACCCATGTGTTATTATTGGTGAGCATGATTGCTATATTTTCACTAAAATCTAATGAATTGTTTGAACAGAGTGCTTTAATTATTTGCTGTCCTTTATATTTAAGATCATTAGAACCTAAATTTAAATGAGTCAAAGATTTGTTCGTGCATATCACATTAGTGAAATAGATGTCTCCACCAAATAACCCGGCTTCATTTCTATAATAACTTAATTTACGAAGGCTTGAATTCTGACATAATGCACCAGAAAAATGTTTTAATCCTTCTGATTTAAAATAAGTTAAATCAATACTTAATTCTTCGAGTGTGTTGTTCGAATAAAGTAATTCAAATCTAGCTGGATATAATTTATATTTAGTTTTTAAAATAGTATTTTAACATAAAGATCCTAAAGTTTTAATTAAAGGAGTTTTATGTATATTTGATTCTATTTCAATATTTACTATCCTGACATTATTTCTAAATGCTTTTGCTAATATCTTGTCTTCTTTATTTCCAATTTCACTATTCAAATATACTAATACAAATTGTGCTAAACCGCGTAATAAATAGGACAAAAGACCATATATACCAAGACATTTTGTTCTATGTGTTTATACTAAAACATGTACAGTATGAAACAAAAAAGACAATTAAAAATTAGCCATTCGGACAGAAGACATAATTTTGCCTACAAACTGCTTAATATCTTGTACTTAATTTAAGGCGTAAACTTTTCGCATAATCGTTTAAATGATCTTGAAACAAAGATTTTTTGAATGAAAAGTTTCTGAGTGGTTAATAATAATACTGCTGAAACAAAGAATTGGTGTCTTTACATGTCATTAAATTATTCTACATTAGGTGTATATGTTGTATACATCATTACTTCAATTATACTAACTGGGTCCAATCCCTACATGTCCTTAAGCTCTAATTCTTTGTTTAATATCCTTACTTATTTAAAATTTGTGCAAACTTTTCGTGTAATCGCTTAAATAGTTCCTGAAACAAGGACGATTTTGAACAAAAAATTCATTTCCGAGTAGTTAATTATTTGTATACTATGCCAATTTTAAATTAAGTAAGGATATTAGATATCTCCTTCCTCCAGTGAAATGTTGATTAATATAGATACTTCTTTATTACAAATAAAGAAACTTAACATTGTGTATAATTTATGATCGTCTTTACATTTCTTTTTAATAAAGACGGTGGCAAACTCAAGCATCAAAGCAGCAAAATTTATCAATTCTGGTTGATAGTTGCAAGTTATTTCATGTTGATAGTTGCAAGTTATTTCATAAGCTTCATCAAAGATGAGATTTCTATTACATTTTGTACAATACATAATGAAATTATTATATTTCTAATACAAATTTGTATATATTATTTTTTGTGCTAATTGTACGCTTCATTCGTAATAAGAAGCTGAAGTCTTTATTATAAAATGATTAAATATTTACTGAATTTATTATATACAAAATAAAATCAGATCCGAAATTTATGCATAAAAAGATAAGGCAATAATTCATATAGAAAATCTAGCTAGGTTATATACTATAGCAATGACTTTAACTTTAGAAGTGTAGGATGGACTTACGTTATATGCAACATGTCTAGTTGTAGGCACGTGTGTTATAAAATGAAATCCGATTGGATGAAAATTGCGTCACTAATTATAAATATTTTATTAGCGCGTTATTAGAGTTGGATTAGAGTAGTTTAGTTGGTTTTAGTAGTGTAATATTGTATTATTTAGACCTAGTGCATTAATTCGCACTTCTACAACGGTCATATCATGAAAAATTGTCACGTATATGTACAATGCTAATATGGACTATATTCACTAAAAATAACAGTTTTCGCGTAAGAATTCCGATTATAGTACAAAAACTAAACGGGTCCCAATTATTTGCCCGACATTTATTTGCCTAAAAATCATTTGCTGACACCCATTTGCCTGGCATTTACTTGCCAGACACCTTTTTTTTTTTGATAATCATTTCCCTGAGAAAATAAGGTGTCGGGCAAGTAAATGTCAGGCAAATGATTGTCGGGCAAATAAATGTCGGGCAAATAATTGGGACCCGAATTTACTTATGTAGATTGGAAAATCAATTAACAACTACATGTTTATTAATCTACAAGGCTATACTATCTAAATCATTCAAGACTAAAACCGAGTAAACAATTCGGACAAAGATGTTAATGAAAGTAAGAATTATCTCTTATGATTAACCATTCGGCCATTCGGATAAAAGACAGTCTGCTTGGCAAGTTATTTAAGATAGGAGTATTTACAAAATGCGAGTTTTCATGCAGTATTTATTGTATTCATTTAAACGACACGTGCCATTTACAAATGAAATTTATAAAAATCTATTTTTAACCTTCTTGGTTTATAAATGGTAACCCGAGTACATTCACATATATCAGTTCATTATTTTTTTACCATAGTGAATATTCAAAAATGATACCAATATTCACGCACTTTGCTGATTATTACACGTCGCAAATATCTTAGTTTACATATACAGATTTATATTAAATTATATTAACTGGGGCAATCCTTTTGTGTACTTTAGCTCCATTTCTTTGTTTAATGCCTTTACTTGCTGTAAAAGGGGCATAGACTTTTGCATGATCTATTAAATGATCTTTTGAAACAAGGACGCTTTTGAATATTCTTGAGCATTTCCGAGTGGTTAACTTATTCGTATGCTATACCTTTCAATATAGATAGTTTTAGTTTGGAATTCTATATATGAAGGATGAATATTGCTGAAACAAAGAAATGGAATCTTGCATGTTACTTTAAAGTCTATATATGGTCTTTAGCCCGAACATTTATTTTTAGTTGTTACGCATAAAGACTTTATTAGTGAATAACGAAGACTTATTTCTTAGTATTGGCTGATTATAATATCAATGACCAATTGAAGAAAATTCTGGTGAACAAATTCCGAATATTTAATAAATACCTGGATCTCAAGCATTTTTCATTTCATAACTCTACTCTTAATCACTTTAAGCACAGAGACAAGACAAAATGAAATCTGTTAGTTCTCTTAAAAAACAACATTTAAAAAGTTACCGCAATTTTTACAAACTCACAAAAGATGGTATTAAAAATATGGGAAGATATCGGAAGTATAAAGTTATTAAAAAGCTATTTGATCTTACCTCAGATGCACAATTAGCTGTTGAAAGAAATCAGATCCCCTTCACAGATTACTTTAATGTAATTGAAGAAATTAAGATTAGGGCATCTGATATTTTTAATGAGAATAAAATTCACAAAAAAGATTCAATGGAATATATCAAAAATCTTTTAAAGAATGATATTTATTCTAAAATAACAGAAGTTGAAATTCAAAAGGCTTTCAAGAAATTTTTGAATTCTAAAGGAGAAGAACCAAAACAAACTTGGTGTGAAACATGTGAAGACGATTACGAATCTTGTGGTCACAAACGAAAAGAAATAAGATTTTTAGAAGTAGTCAGATTTTTTCAATTTTCAAAACAGTATTGTGATCATGATCATTATTTTATAGTTAGTGATTTCATTCAAAATAAATGGGTTTCTAGAAAATTAGAAGAATTCGATATATTACAGAATATTATGACGGAGTGAGAAATATTTTATTGATAAGTTAGGGGAATAAAAATTTTAAAATTTTTGTCTTTCTATACTTGATAATTTGGTGATTATTTATTAAATAAACATATATTATATTAGGCAGTTTGCAGGTGATAATTAGTTAACATCACTGAGAATTCTTGAGGCAAAGGGATAAAATGATACGAATAAATCAAATGAACTTATTTTGGAGTAACAAATTATGACAAATTAATTTCCAGCTCATATATATTTGAAAGTGTTAGTTTATTATTATTCGTAAATACAAATGTATAAATATTATGTATAATGTAAAAATGGGTGCAAGTACTGTATATCTTAACCGTACATCATTAAAATCTATGAAATAGACATATGGTACGTACCCCATTAGAAAAAGAACAAATGAATTATTATGTAATATTAGCAGGTTCAATATACTTATTATTATATATAAAATCGATAATTCTAGACGCAACAATATAATTATAAATTTTAATAATTAGGTGTTTTTAATGATTTTAATATAACATGAATATACACTAAATTTTTTTGGATCTTGATATACTAGTTATTAGTAATACTTCATCAGCCAATCATAGTTGAAGAAGATCATCTGATATGATAGCCAATAAAAAAGAACTTCCCTTAAATTCTTGATACAATACTAATCAATAAATTAAGCGTTTATTTAAATTTTTTCAGAAAACATGCTTTTCTGTAATTGATATATGCGCTTTCTTCATCTTTCTTGACTCCTATGCCTTTATTGTAGCATTGTCCAATTTTATTATATCCTCCACAGTCTTCCATGTTCGCGGATTTTTGATAGTGGATGAAAGCTTTCTTTTCGTCCTTTTCAACTCCGATTCCCAGTTCATAACAATAACCAATATTATTAATTCCACAAACATTCCCCATATCTGCAGATTTTTGATAATAGATGAATGCCTTATGTTCATCCTTTTCAACTCCAATCCCATGATGATAACAATATCCAACTCTATTTATTCCAGCCATATTTCCCATTTCTGCGGACTCTTTGTAATATTCAAATGCTTTATCAGTATCAAATATTGAAGCAATACGGCTATAACAATAGGCAACGTTGTATATTCCGTCAGAGTTTCACATATCTGCGGATTTTTGGTAATATTCAAAAGCCTTTTTATTGTTTTTATCGGTCCATCAACCGTGATAGTAGCACGTGGTGATAATCAAGTACTTCTTATTAGTGTTCGGACTCTTTAGTAGTAATCGAAATACGCGATTTAGATCTTGGTGAGCACACAAGATTTCATTTTCTACTTTGATGAGAATTGATAGAATGTTGTCAGAGGTTTTCGATTTTACGGTATTGTATAGAGCATATAATCTGTCAATGAAGTAGCAGTTGGTACTCATTTTAAGCCGACAAGAGTTTTTAATCTTACAAACTCGTGTTCGTTTAATCTGTTGCTTCATTTTGATATTTGGTAAAAGATAAAAGTATTTAGTAATTGATTGTGAGTTAATTATAAAAATTAATTTGAACTTTGATGATGGATAGAGTCAGAAGAATGTGTATTTATATCTTTTAAGTATCTTTTGAGGATGCACACTAAAGTCTTTATCGAATTATTAGAAAACTCACTCTGAAACTGATACCTATATTTAGCATCTCATTGGAAAAACATCTAAGACTAAAACTGAATTAACCAATATAAGAACAAATTTCTTTGTTTACGCGTTATCATTATGATTAACCATTTGGATAAAAGGCCGAAATTTCGTGTGTATGTATTTGAAATATATTACTAATACAAATTGTGCCAAAGCGCATAATAAATAGGACAAAAGACCATATATACCAAGACATTTTGTTCTATGTGTTTATACTAAAACATGTACAGTATGAAACAAAAAAGACAATTAAAAATTAGCCATTCGGACAGAAGACATAATTTTGCTTACAAACTGCTTAATATCTTGTACTTAATTTAAGGCGTAAACTTTTCGCATAATCGTTTAAATGATCTTGAAACAAAGATTTTTTGAATGAAAAGTTTCTGAGTGGTTAATAATAATACTGCTGAAACAAAGAATTGGTGTCTTTACATGTCATTAAATTATTCTACATTAGGTGTATATGTTGTATACATCATTACTTCAATTATACTAACTGGGTCCAATCCCTATGCATCCTTAAGCTCTAATTCTTTGTTTAATATCCTTACTTATTTAAATTTGTGCAAACTTTTTGTGTAATCGCTTAAATAGTTCCTGAAACAAGGACGATTTTGAACAAAAAATTCATTTCCGAATAGTTAATTATTTGTATACTATGCCTTTTCAATATAGATTTATCATGCTTTTCAAATTACTTGTTCAGCACATTTCATGCATTACACCAGGAATCAGGAATCTAGAAAAATGATTGGCTAAAAAATTAAATAGAATAATCTTTAGCCAATTATAGACTGGCATTTTTCCTGATTCCAGATTCTTGTATGAAATTTGCTGAACACAGTGATTTGAAAAGCGCGATAATTTGGAATTCTATACATGAAGGTTTTCTAAAATTAATCAAGAATATATGTGAAAGTTATATCCAATAATGAACATTGCTGAAACAAAGAAATGTGGTCTAATTCCAAATGATTATAAATAGGGTTCTGTTCGATGCTGAAGAATCAAAAATTTTGAGTTGCAAAAATGATATCCTTACCAACTGAATATCAAAGAAAGCCTTACTGTAAAATAATAAGGATTACAATATAAATAATTTTGGTTAAAATCAAGTCTAAAAATAGATGTTTATTTCAAATTTTTATGTTTCTTGCGAATGGCAAGTGAATATTTTATTGTTATAGGCTTTTTTTATTATTTTAAAACTTTTTTTAAAACATTTTGAAGAGATAAAATTAAATTGTTTCTGATTAATTATTACCAGTTTAATGTTAAAATTTTGTTCATTGGGAAATTTAATTATTGTTTTGTGGTCAAAATGACAGCCTTGATTGCGTTAACAGAAACGCCATCTACCTTATCTTCATCAATATTATATAAATTATGAAACGTCATTTTAACATTAAGTAATTAAAAGGATATTTATCAAGAACAAACACTCTCATAAAAGGATAATTTAGGTAGGTTAATTCGTCAATTTTAGCATCGATAAAAAAAATATTTACTCCTGGTTATGTTCACCACAGGGTCGCTTTTATTATAATAGGCTTTGAGTTCATTATCCAGATTTTTTAAATAGTTGTATGCTTTAGGTGAAAGTTCAGGTATCTTGGAAGGAATATTTGTTATATCACCTAATGTATTAGTTCCTAACTCTCTGACCTTTTTATGATCACTATTAAGAAACATTCTGAATCCGCTAGTGGTTTGCTTAAATAAACTCGTCAAAGCTTTTTTATCTGAAATGTTTTTTTTATTAAATTATGTAATCTTTGATATTCTGTTAGATCGAGATGATAATCTGGTGGTGGTTTAGACATTTTCGATTACTTGTTGAAAATAAAAAATGAGACATTTAAATATTTTATAAATGATAATGATTATTTCATAAATTCTATGAAATCTCTTTTTAACAATATTTAATGTATTTCGGATCACAATCCTATTGAGTTTTCATTCAATTTTTGTGATAAATTGATTTTATATTAAATTATATGAACTTTCAAAAATCTAATTTTTTCTATTTTAATTGATCAATAACTTTAATAAATAGAAACCGCTAGAACCAAACAAAGAAACGACCAAATTCTATTGGATTGACCTTTTCTAGCCTCAATTAATTTATTCGTGAAGATGCTATAGTATTTTACTAACACATACTTAAATTTAATTAGAAAACTTTTTATAATAATATGTAAAAATAAATAGTAAGTCATGCAATATTTATATTTAAAAGGAAAGCTCATAAAGTGAATTGTTTTCTAGAAAGTGTATTGTTTTCACTTTTAAAGCACAATAATTTTTGTTATTTGATTTATGAAGTAATTAAATTTCTCTCCGATAAAATTTTTATTATTTGAATTAAATCTTTTAAGCTTTTTATATAGCATTTTGTTTTATATTTTATGTGCAAATTTAAAATTATAAAACATATTATAAATCTAAAATTCAAATTGCTAACATCTAATTAAGATAAAATTAAACCCAAGTTGACCAACCACTCGGAAATGCTCAAGAATAGTTTGTTCGAATATTATTGTTCAAGAATCATTTAAGCGATTACACAATATGTCTGTGCCAATTTTAAATTAAGTAAGGATATTAGATATCTCCTTCCTCCAGTGAAATGTTGAATAATATAAAACTTAAATTCTCATTTAATAAGATGTATCTAGATACTTCTTTATTACAAATAAAGAAACTTAACATTGTGTATAATTCATGATCGTCTTTACATTTTTTTTTAATAAAGACGGCAAACTCAAGCATCAAACCAAAATTTATCAATTCTGGTTGATGGTTGCGAGTTATTTCATAAGCTTCATCAAAGATGAGATTCCTATTCCATTTTGTACAATACTCTTTATTCGGGGTTATTCCTTTATCTAGGCATTTCAACCTAAACATTAGGTTGATTATGTCCTTCGCTTGATTTGAAAGCTTATCATTATCCAAAACCTTTAAGATGAATTTCATTGCCTCCTTTCTTTTCACTTCACATTTTTTGGTGTCTGTTTCACCTTCGGAATAAAATAAATTTGAGATTTGATTTCCCAGTTCAGTTAATATTACATTTAAATTATAATCGATATTATTTTTAACAAAGGTATCATTCTTCGATCTAGATTCGTTAAATGTTTCTTCCAAGTTATTAAATTTTTTTTCATTTTCATTGGCAATAGTTTCGGTGAGTTTCATGATTCTTTCAACTTCATTTGCAAAATTTGCATTCTTTGAAGTCATTTTTTGATATTTAGTTTATTTGATAATGATTTATTCTTTGTGTTATTTGTGATTATGGGAAGAGCAAAGGAATGATGCTGCTTTTATATTTTCGTTGGGTTTCG